CCTTAATTTACAGATATTAGTTGGAGAGTTTGAGCGAGATGCTCGGAATTGGTTGATTTTTCAGGTATTCTGATCACATGTACACAACATTAGATATCTATGTTTGCTTGCTGAGAAAGGATAGGAAAATGAAAACGAATTTAAATCCCTGAAGCACGGATTGTTTATTGTTTGGGTGATGATCTCCACTAAATTGAGCTAAAAGTAGATATTTTGCTTATTTGGGATATTACATTCTTTATGTTTTAAGATATGTCATCATAGAGCGCGAATTTATTTGTTTTTTCGCAGTTCAGCTTTGTGGATTCTCTGTAGCGAAACTTCATAATTTTACGAATCTCATTTAGAAAATATGAATCTTCTGTTAAGAACTTATTAAGATAAATAGAATGTTGAAAAAGCAAAACACCAATCACGTTCTGAAAAAAGGCAAGAGGTGATTCAAGGAAAAATATGGCATTATAATGACGACGAAATCTAGTGTTTGATTGTGTTTTCATTTGTTACATTTTGACAAATATTGTTTTGATTTTCCTATGATTCCTCTGATGTTTTATGTGGAGGAGAAGACAAGGTTCCAGTTTAGCTCGTTTTAACTATTTAGTGATATATAAAAGTTAGCAGATATTTCTGCATAAGGGTAAAATATGTGGTGAGGGACAAAATGATTCTGTCAGATGAAAGGTTTACTTTAATTCACAGGCTAAAATCTACCAAATCAGTTGTTAATTATCTCTTGGGGATTTTCCATTTTCAGTGAAGATGTGACCCAAAGGACCTATCCTGAAACTTATGTATCCTTGACTTGGGAATTGGTAAAAGATACATCTCCACAAATTTTTATTGTTTTCTGATTTCATTCTGAGCCAAAAATTTAGTAGCTCGAATTTTTCAACTCTAATTTAATAAATGAAATACTAGTCGTCTTAAAGAAATGTAAATAAAAAGAAGCTAGTAGCTTCCTGGAATTTCAAATTCTCGACAGTGATCTAGAATTTAAAACTCATGGATGAAGGTTTGAGCAGATTTCCTTTGCGTCAATTTAACTTATGGTGCCTGGTTGACGGGTATTTACTCCAATAAATGTTTGACGAATGTTATTCTGTCTTAATGGAGAACTCCTTTTTAAATTGATGCACATTTCCAACCTGATATGCTTGTGTTTTTATTGAACCCCATACAAACAATATTTTGCTGACCAGTTGCATACATGAAATGAGACTACATATTTCATAATTGAAGTTATTGGTACACATGTTTGCAATTATTTTAGTTGGACCGGCTATGTTTTTCTTTCTTCTGTTTGCCACAAACCTTAATGGTCTCTTTAGTGAAGCTACGCTAGTTTCAGAAACCTTTTGAGTTCCAGGTCTGATATGCTCCAGATATGCCATGGGAGTATTGATTTTCTATGACGGCTGAGATGAGATGCAATGCGTGCTGGCGAGAACTGGAAGGCCGAGCCATCACCACAACCTGTGGTCATGTTCTATGTATCCAGATTGATAGAAATACTGTGCCTTTGCAGTTGTATAGGTTAATTATTTTTCTGTCTGAAAACTGGAGTCATTGGTCCACTTTTTCAAAAATTCCTTGATGTATAAAAAGGCACAGAAGATGCCAGCAGGATTCTTAGCAGTGATGGAGCTTGTCCTATTTGCGATCAAGTGCTCTCTAAGAGGTAAGTAAGGTGTAATGAGGATCAAGTGCTTTCTAAGAGGTAGAAACTTGTAAAGGTGATGCTTAGATTTTGTTTCATATTTTCTTTTGTTTAAATGTTTTTAAGTCTGTATTCTTCAAGTCGTGGATTTCTTAGATGTGCATTGGTGATAAGCATAGATGAAGATCAAGAATTTAACCATGATACACTGCGAAAACTTCTTGGCTTTAAACGCCTTTGTAAAGCTATTTTTCTTCGGTGATCTATTAATTCTTTTTGAGAACAAAACAGAAAGCTTTGATATGAAACTGTCGTTAAAATGTTACTTGGATGCTGAGATAGAGTTGTTGTTCACACTTAAAGTCTCGTTTCTTACTTCCAAGCGGCATTTATACATTCCTGTTATACCCTACTTATTCTTCCTCTCTACTTGACAGTCATATGAAACCCGTGGATACCACTCCAAATGATGAATGGATAAACGTAAGCAATTTTGAAAATTACATGTACTTGATTGGATTTTTTAAGTACTGCCCTAAACTCGGTCCACTTCTCTAGAAATTGTTTCCCTCTGGTACTTTAGTTTCTTTACCTGGTAACTTTTTCAACGTGTTGTTGGTTGCAGATGGTTATGGCTGGAGTATCACCTCAGATATGTATCCTTTTTCCTGAATAATGTAGTCTAATAATAATGTTACAAACTACCCTAGGACAGAAAACGAGGGACGATATGGTGCATTACTTTAGATTTCTCCTTGTGTGAGTAATTAAACCAAATAAGGTGTGCTCTATGGCTTGTGCAAAGTTCAGTTTGGTAAGACGACAGAGGGTGACTTTTCTTTCCTTGACCAATCCCAGTGATGAAGGCCTCATACAGAAGCGTAATGTTCTATGTTGGACAGAAGGAATTGGAAATGCAGTACAAGATGAACAGAATAGTAGCTCAATGCCGGCAGAAATGTGAAGCAATGCAGGAGAAGTTCACAGAAAAACTGGAGCAGGTACATACTGCATACCAGAAAATGGCTAAACGGTGCCAAATGATGGAACAAGAAATCGAAAGCTTATCCAAAGACAAGCAGGAGCTCCAGGAAAAATATGCAGAAAAATCCAGGTGTTTGTTTTCCCGTTACTGTGCATTGTTAACATTCCTGAAACTTTAGTATTAGCATTTTCTGAAATTTAACAGTGCCACTATTGGCTCTGATGTTATAACACTAAACTGTTCCTTATCAGGCAGAAGAGGAAATTAGATGAAATGTATGATCAGGTGAGAAGTGAGTACGAGGCAATGAAAAGATCTGCCATCCAACCAGCAAGCAACTTTTATTCGAGAAATGAGCCTGATTTATATTCCAACCCAGCTACTGTTGTTAATAACAGAGAAGCTATCAGAAAAGGTAATCTTTTCCCTGTTTCATACCACATTCTAAGCACTAACTAATTGTCAAGTCTGGAAATTTTCTCTACAATGTACTAAAAATTATCAGCACTTGAAAGCGTATAAGTTGGCTTATCGACACTGGCACTAAACGAAATAACTTGTGCTTGCTTAGATATTCCAAAACCAGTTGACTTACTTGTTGCAGATTGGCTGGTTTTTACTCCGAACACTCCAGGGCCCAGAGACGATATTTGGACAGTGCGACAGAATAGTTCAAATTCCGTTGGTACCTATGACATTGGCTCACCAGCAAAACAAGCTGCTATTCCAGTTGATGCTGGGAACAGAAGAGCTGGTGCTCATTCTATCTTTCGAACTGGATCTGGATCTGGATCTGGCAACCCCTCAACGACTTTGAGGAACTTGATACTCTCTCCTATCAAGAGGCCTGTACTCTCACGTAACCACGCACAATTGTTCACGTAAGCCACAAAATTAATTTTATCAAACTTTACTTGACTACTCTACACACTAACTTTTCTTGGCATTTTGTTTTAGGTTGTAGGATCAAGGTTGGGGACTTGCCATCTGCTCGACTATTACTCTGGTTTAAGAATTTGTTTCCGAAAGTTTCTTTTGCCACATCAACAACTGATGATCAACAACTATATCGATCATCTTTTTCTCCGAACAAAGGAATTCTGTAGGTATTGTAGAGAAACATGAATCACAGGTTCTCACAAAGTTTATAGTGAATGCTAATTTTCTTTTGGTACTGTGAATGCTAATTTTCATGTGTAATGATATGTTCTTTAAGCTGATTCACCTGGATGCGAAATTGCCAAAACCTCTTCTACTACTATCACCTTTTGTAGCTTCCACTGTTGAAAACTTTTTTTTTTTTTTTTGAAATGTTTGAAATTTGAATGCTGGAATCATCAATATGCTTGGTCTTAAAACAAGCATTGGAATTTGAACTTGGGAAATGGAACTTCATGGTTGCTTCCCTGGCCATGCCAATTAAAGAGAAAAAAAAAAAAAAAAAAAAAAAAAAAAAAAAAAAAAAAAAAAAAGCACGCAGCCTGTACTCCTACTTGTTACTAGAAACATCGTTCTAATTGAAAATTTGAGAATTTAAATGTTCCGTATATAACTGAACTGTGATATGATAAGCTTGGCAGGGTTTAGCATAAGAGATTTTGATGTACCTACTCCCTTATCATTGTGAATCAGGATAGAAAAATATTAGCAATGCACTTTTATCCAGACTTAGCTAATGCTTGAGAGTGCCAACTCCCGAAGAACAGATTATGGGTTTATAGGTACGACTGCTGCTGTAGTCCACAGCACTTGGAAGAAAACTTACAATCTGCTGTAATCAGCGATTTCAATTCAAGAAAAACGGATGTTAGATAGTGTTCAACAGTCCGTGAAGGTCAGCTTTATAAGTGGCTTGATATCGAGCATATTCTTTATGAAACTTATAAAGCCAGGTATGCTTTAAGTTTATCAAGTGACACTGATAAACTTTACTCTAGATTATACGCCATAAAAGCGGTAGCATTGGTTTTTCTTCAGCCTACAGTCAGCATGCTAGTTATATTACTTGATATTCTTTTCAATGAGAATAATATTTGGAATTTTCACCTTACATGACTAATTTGTTTCACAAGAACATAATGGTAGAAGCAGGCACGTTCTAAGAAGAGTTGCAGGGTGTTAAGAGGGCAAACACCTGTTGCATTCTTGTAGGGTGTTAAGAGGAAGTGTTGTAGGGTGTTAAGAGGGCAAACACCTATTGCATTCCTTTGATTAGTGATTAGATAACTTAGAACTTTCATTTATCCACCTTCACCATGTGTCCCTACTGTTCTTAAATTCACTTTTAAATAATATTCATGTTCCAGGAATCCTGGCGTCACTTTTCTAATTTACGACCCTCAACTTTTCAATATTGTGACATGCTCAATCTACATTTCTGAATCCGTTCCAACAACAAACAAATGACTCATGCTGTATTAAAACAGCTAAAATTTCAAGTCGTATGGACAAACTTTCGATATCTAAAGCGCAAGTATAGGATACCTCAGCTTCCTTTTCCAGTTGTGTGTTGTAACAAATGGTCCGGCAAAAAGACCTTCAAAATTGGGGCCTTGGAAGATACTTCAACAGTATCCCCGTTTTTTACAGAGTAGCAAACATGGGAACCATCGATGTATATGACACCCTCTTTACAAAACCATGTCAAGCCCATGGATTGATCCGATTTGACTAATCCATGCAATAAGCTTGAGGTTTCTGCTGAAATGGGCTCTCTCACCAAGTACTGTAGATCACGCGATAGAATAGGCATTGGAAACCCACCTGCTGAAAGCATTGCTGCCGTTGATCCAGCAGCTGTTGAAACTCTGAGACCACTTGAACGACAGTGCACTATACGGGAAAATGATTGGTCATTCCCTTTAAGTCTGCCGAGGAGAAAAAAAAAAAAAGATATTTCGTTCATTTATTTTCAGTTTGAGAAAAAAAAGTTTGCCCATATAATCTGCAAAAGGAAAGGCCAAATGTGGCTTAATTTAATGAAACATGGAAATCAATTTACTTGAAGGAGAACCGAGAAACTGATGCTGGACATGGATGTGCAATCAAAATGTCATTCAGACCATATGTAGGCAGCTGCTTTGAGTTTAGACGCATTAACATCCTTGATAATTGGGAAGGAACTCTTCGACCCTCGATGATGCTGTCTAGCACCTGAAAGAATTATTTGCTGTTTTATAATGAAACCTAATATCAGCATTTATAAAATAAATTTATGCATTGGGCTGAAAAGCACCATCAACCATGAAATTAAAATGTGAGTGCAACCTTGTTAAAATCTGTGTGCTCCCATCTCCATCTCTTAAAACACAAAATAATTTACATTGGTAGTGTTTCGGGGTTCGGGCTATTGGTACACAAGCCCATCAATCAATGCATAGGTGGCAAAGCTGAAACTACTAATACAATTTACAACTCTCCACATTAAAACAAATAATTTAGGAAATCTTACCTGTTCAAAGTTGTTGATGGTTGCTGCACAAAGGTAGCCAGTGCTTCTAGTAGCATCAAACTCATTGCTGAACTCTTTCACCTAAACATAAGAAAATAAAAATTAATCTACTAATGGCGACAACTTCCCCAATAAAAGGTATTCAAATCTGATTATGGAAACCATGCACCGAGGAAATGGATATGCTAATAGAGGAGTGAAAGTCTCTAATTAGACAAGCAAACAACCGACCTCATCAACTTGGGTAGGATCAGAATTTACACCTATAACTGGAATCGAGTCATCGATGAAATGGCTGGCCTGCAAAAGAGTGCCATCCCCTCCAACTGTAACAATCAGGTCCACATCAGAGATGGGACGTGATAAATCGTTACGAAATATGGGTTCCCACTCAACAGGCTTATCCCGCAAAACATCCTGGCAAAATTTTATGGCATCCTTGTGCACTTTAAGCCTATTTTCCAAATAACGCAAGACCTGTGATTCCTTTGAAAGAAAACGAATTTCAAGTGAGAAAAATAATTGAAAATAATAGTACAGGTTTCCGCACACAATACATTCATGACACAAAATTCTTTTGGTGAGGTCTCTATCTTCATTCTCATTTTTTAAATCCTTGCAACAAAACAAAATATGTGTGTCGAAATCTTACCTTAGTTCGGATTTCCGGGGCTGCTTTATTCTATATTAGGATAGTTGAATATTTTGTATTAAGTTACCTAATTTCTTGTTTATTCTCTTTCCTTATTTAGGTTAGATTGTTACCCTTATATTTGTTTACCTTTTATTCTGTTCACACGGTTTGCATATTGCAATCGTTTCCTATATATATGCAACTGTAATGTTCATTCAATCAATAAGAGAAAATCAGAGAGTATACTTTCTCTCTCAGTAATTTTCATAGTATCAAAGCCTACCTCTGAAAAACCCAAATCCCTTTTTCATGACCAAATACGGCATGGCTACTGAGACTACATCCGAAGTAACCTCCACTCCAGAAACTGCTGCACCAGCTTCGAGCAGCCATGGAGGTCCGGACACTCATTCTCTTCTCATAACCGGCCACAAACTCAATGGTCAAAACTATCTCGAATGGTCCCAGTCAGTTATGATGTTTATCTGTGGGAGAGGCAAAGACGAATATCTCATTGGAGAAGTCACCATTCCAGAAAAGAATGATCCCAAATACAGGCAATGGAAAACCGAGAACCATATGGTAATGTCATGGTTGGTTAACTCGATGAACAATGAGATAGGAGAGAATTTTCTCTTGTACGAAACCGCACAAGAAATCTGGAATGCTATTAGGGAGACATATTCAAGTTCTGAGAATACTTCAGAACTCTTTGAAATCGAGGCCAAGTTACACGATCTTCACCAAGGAGACCTCACGGTTACTCAGTATTTTAATACTCTCACTCGATATTGGCAGCATCTTGATGTATTCGAAGTGCACATATGGAAGTGCCCTGATGACACAGCCCTCTACTGGAAAATTGTGGAGCAGAAATGGACATTCAAGTTTCTTCTCGGCCTCAACAAAAATTTAGATGAAGTTAGAGGAAGAGTAATGGGGATCAAACCTTTTCCTAGCATTCGTGAGGCCTTCTCAGAAGTTCGACGTGAAGAAAGCAGGAAAAACGTGATGATGGGTCCTCAGGAATCTACTCCAACTCTTAAAGGATCTGCCCTTGCAGCACGAGGACCACCAACAAACAACACTTTTGACAACCGGCAGAGGAGAGGAAGACCATCGTGTGACCACTGCCGCAAACCAGGACATCTCAGAGAAAATTGCTGGAAAATTCATGGCAAACCCGCTGATTGGATGCCCTCTCGATCAACAAATGACAAGGAAAATCGTGCCTATGTTGCTGCCTCCAAAGAAGATAGTCCAACCACAATTGAGACAAGCCCTTTCACCAAAGAACAACTTGAAGTCCTACAAAAACTTTTCAGCCAGAACAATCAGCCTCAGACAAGTACTTCGGCACCCGAAACCAGTATGTTAGCACAAAAAGGTAACCTTCCAATGGCTCTTATAGCTAATAGAGGGCACTTGACACCATGGATTATTGACTCTGGAACGTCAGATCACATGACGGGAGATGCAACTATATTTCACCAATACAGGCCATCCAGTGAGAACTTTACCATCCGAATTGCTGAAGGTTCCTTATCCAAAGTTGAGGGAATTGGCTCGGTCCAGATTACTAAGGACTTGATTCTAAATTATGTCCTCCATGTTCCTAGTTTGGACTGTAATTTACTCTCAATTAGTAAATTGACCAGTGATCTGAATTGTGTAACTAAATTCTTTCTAAACTTGTGTGAATTTCAGGAATTGGATTCGGGGAGGAAGATTTGCAGTGCTGAGATGTGTTATGGGTTCTATCTACTCAACACTCCTCTAAGAAGACAAGCTCAAAATGCAAGTGGTGTGTCCTTTAAGAGTCAGTCAGTTTTAAATTCGTATGTCAATAAAGATAGTGAAATTATGTTATGGCACTATCGTCTTGGTCATCCAAATTTTATGTATCTGAAAAAACTGTTTCCTTCTTTGTTTATCAATTAAGGTTCAATGTCTTTTTATTGTGAAATTTGACAACTTGCCAAACATACTCGTAGTAGCTATCCTAGTCATTCATATAAGTCATCTCAACCATTTGCCTTGATCCATAGAGATGTCTGAGGCCCCTCAAGAGTGAAAAACATAACAGGAACTCGATGGTTCGTATCTTTTGTTGATGATCACACTAGATTAACCTGGATATTTCTCATGAAAGAAAAATTTGAAGTTGGTCAAATTTTTCAAAATTTCAATTCCATGATACAAACCCAATTCCAAACCAAGATTCGAGTTTTAAAAACTGACAATGCCAAAGAATACTTCACAACTATCCTTGGTGATTACCTCTTGAGTCAAGGCATAGTCCACGTAAGTTCTTGTATTGATACTCCCCAACAAAACAGGGTTACAGAAAGAAAAAACAGACATTTACTTGAGGTAGCCCGATCTCTCATGTTCTCTACTAATGTTCCAAAGTATTTATGGGGAGAAACTATTCTTACATCTGCCTACCTAATCAATAGAATGCCATCCCGAGTTCTCAAATTCCAAACTCCTTATCGAGTCTTTCTCCAAAACTACCCACATACCAAACTTATTTTTGCCTTAGATCCAAAGGTATTCGGGTGTTCAGCCTTTTTGTTCATATCCATTAGCAAATTAGATCCTAAATCCATCAAGTGCATTTTTCTCGGCTACTCCTCAAACCAAAAAAGGTACAAGTGTTATTCTCCTATTACCCGGAAATTTTACAACTCAATGGACATAACCTTCTTTGAACATCAACCCTACTGCCCCAAATCTGAAATTCAGGGGGAGAACATGAGGGAATATCAGCTTTGGAATGTTCCAGCCAATACTGAATCCTATTCTGGTTATTCACCACAGTCAAATGAAATACTTCCTGAGACTATGGATCATATACAACCTGACAGTGAATCCGATAGTCAACCACCTCCACCTGCACCTGCAAACTCACCACAAAATCCAGTTTCTAATCCAACCTCTTCTGTCCACAATCACTCCAAATCACCACAAACTGCAAGTAAAGAGCTTCGTGACTATGTTAGAAGGAAAAGACCCGAAAGGGAGATAGAGCACTCAACTCCTCTTGCACATGTTCAAGAACCTGTACTGAGTCCAAAACCTGTTCAAATTCACTCAGGTAAGGAAACTCCCACTCTTGAGATTGAGAATGAAGTAATTGCCACTAATGATTGTGATATGCCGATTGCTCTAAGAAAGGGTGTTAGAACATGCACACAACATCCCATATACAACTTTGTCTCCTATGGAAAATTATCTCCATCTTATCAGGCATTTGTTTCGGCTCTTGATGGTGTACAGGTACTGAAGTTTTTAGGGTTGAATGATTATTCTCTCATTAATTAAAAACATGTATGTACAGCCCTACTTATACATTAGGTCTCTGTTCACCCTAGCACTAATTACATAATTACTGATTCCATATAGAATCCGGAAATAAAGAATAAAATAGGAAACAAATCAGAAATCAAGAAACTACCATAAATAGAGATATTGGGAATGATCCGAAATCTCTTTATTCCTAATTTACTATTGTTGGAAAGTTAGGAAATAATATCCCATAGAATCAGGAAATTAGAATTTGAATATTTTCTGTTTTAGTTCTTTCTGGTTTTGTTTCTGTTTCCTTTTCTTACTCCTCAATTCTAGGAACCGAATATTGTGTTCCCTTTCTATTTAAACTAGTGTAACCTGTGTTATGAATAATAAGAAAGAGAGAGGTTCTGCCCTCTAGGTTTTCCTCCTTGATCTACCCTCTTTTCCTACATGGTATCAGAGCCTTAGGCTCCGATCTAGGGTTTATCTATGGCAGGCCAGAATCCGTGGAAGACAGCTCTAACCGGTGCAGCCAGCAAGGACTCAGCGGCGCTAGGGGAAAGCACTGTGAGTTCGAATCTGAACTCCTCCATCTCATTCAATGGCACAGAGGGGTCCACTAATTCACTCCAACTGAGTATTCACCGTCTAAATGGAAAAAACTACACGAAATGGTCGCAAACCGTTCGGTTGATCTTGGATGGCAAAGGGAAACTTTGATATCTGATAGGAGAAGTAACAAAACCTGCAGATGGAGATTCGGGTTTCAAAAACTGGCAATCAGAGAATTCCTTGATTATTGCGTGGTTGGTAAATTCAATGGAACCCACAATTGGAGAAAGCCCTTCATATTTCTGCCAACAGCCAAAGATGTTTGGGAAGCAGTCAAGGACACGTATTCTGATTTGGAGAATTCTTCGCAGATTTTTGGTTTAAAATCCAAACTTTGGCATGCAAAACAGGGTGACTGAGATGTGACCTCATACTACAACGAGTTAATGACCTTGTGGCAAGAGTTAGACCTCTGTTATGATGATGTTTAGGAGTGCACGAATGACGGCGTTCGCTTCATGAAACGACAAGAAAATGATCGTGTCTTTATGTTCTTGGCAGGGCTAAACAAGGAGTTAGATGAGGTGCGTGGCAAAATTTTAGGAAAGATGCCTCTGCCAACAATTCGTGAGGCCTTCTCATATATTCGGAGAGAAGAAGCACAGCAGAATGTGATGCTTAGCAACAAATCCAGTCCTCCTTTTACCAATAACTCAGAAGTAGAGAGCTCTGCCCTCGTAACTCGAGGTTTCCATTAGGAAGTGAAGAAGGATGGTAGGCTTTCTGAACGACCGTGGTGCGACCACTGCAAACGCTCATGGCACACACGGAAAACCTATTGGAAACTTCATGGCAAACTTCATGGCTCACTCAGCTACTTATGCGCGCCAACTTCCACTGGGATGCCGCGGCCATAGAGGCTTTTTTCCGCCTCAAGCAGGCCATGACAACGGTGCCAGTCTTGGCCTTACCCAACTTTACTCAGCTTTTTGTTGTGGAGGCG